TGTACTCCTTGAAAGAATCCCATTGTGCACAGGGTACAGATCATTATCCCATTTTATGGAAGAGGAATCTATCTTTAATTACTTGCCCAAAGGACTCAAGTGCCAGGGGTCTGAGGTAGGTCTGAAGTCCAGGACTCCAGGGTCTTTTTCCACTAGGACACTGCTAACTAGGAACAAAACAAGGGATGGGGTCCCCATGAGATCCAGGAACTTGGTGAGGTGGCATATTGCCTGCGCCTGCCTCCACCAACCTGCCAGTATTGTGTGCCCCAAGGGCTGGCACACACACAGGGGCAGTGCTTGTGGATTGAATGACAGAACACCAGGTGAACAAGGTGTGTGAAGGAACAAATGACTTACCTGATGAGGGTCACTGAGGCCAAGGTTGCAGGCCATTTGTCCTTGGTTTTGATTAAGGGCTGTGACAGCTTTTGCAGTATTCTGGGGGATGTACACCATGTATACTCCTACCTTTGAAGAGAATGTAGAAATTTCTTGCCTCCACAGGCCAGGCCACAATTCTGTTGACCCAGGGCCAGTGGAGCTAAAAGGAAACATCTGTGCAGGATGAGGGTAGGGGGTGGGGGATGGCTCCATACCAGGCCAAAAGTTTTCAGTTGTTTGGGATGATGTGGGTGGGGTAGTCAGAGCTTGCTTTATATAACTCAGACCTCTAACAGCTTTGGAGAAAAGAAAAAAAGAAATCACACTTGAAAACTGAAATGTGCTGTTTAGAGCTCTTTTTTGGTTTTTCTGTCTCTGGGTTTTGTTATCAAGATCATTCTTTGTACAGGGAAATTGGTATGAAAAGGCTGGGCCCTGAGGGGTGTGTTAGGGGCATTTCCCTGGGGGGAGTCACTGGAGAACCTTAGCCCAACATCATTCTCCTGCCTGCAACCACCCCAGCTGCCCTTGGGGCTGGTGGAGGCCTACTGGACAGTGTCAGCAGAAGGAGATCTTCGGGCTAGGAGGAGATCCCACAGGCCAGTCAGTGACAGTGGGAGTTGCACTGGTGGGCCTCCTCTGGTCAGGGACAGCTGCGGACGCACAAGCAGACCCAGCTATTTAATGGCCAGAAGCTCAACACTGGTAACAAATGAGGTGTGGTTGCTACAAGGAGCCTATGTATCTGAGTTTCTGAGCAGAGTGTCCAGTCTGACCATAGGACACAGGCCACTTCCCACAGGCAGGCCCCCTGAGAACACATTTTGTTCTGGGAGCTGTACCACAATAAGGACAGTAATAAGCAGAATTATATCCAAAGGTGATTTTCTGGGAGGTTACAAAAGTCTAGGAAGAGTTGGGAGAAGACACAGTGGCTACCAGTTTCACATATTTGCTGGCCTCTTATGCTCCAGAGGCTGGTGCCGGGGACCCCTGGTGATGTTTCAAAAGCTTGCCTGCCTCACCACAGAGGGATTGTATAACAAGCCACACACCTAATGATGCAACCAGCTGTTTTGCAGAGTAATGAGCTGATTGCCCAGGAAGGAGTTAAGCAATGTCTGACAGGGTCCGTGCAAAGGGCTCCACATCGTGGGTGGTTATACCAGACTGCCTCTCCCAACCTGCTTTCTGACTCAGAGGTGGAGAGACAGGGGACCACTTGCACTTTTGAGGCACACTAAAAGCAATTAAAAATTTATGAAATGCCAAAACAGGGTTATGAAAAATGGTGATAGATTTTAAATGTTTACACGCAATGGAACTGCATTTTTAATACACACAAATATGATGCAGAAAGAACTGGCTTTTAAAACCTCATTCTGAGGGTCCTACGAGCACTGTGATGAGCTTGTCTTAGAGCTGTTGCTGTATGTCCAGGGCTGAATAGACCCCTGGGAGACATGCCAAGCCTAAACCTGAGGCCCCAAGCCAAAGGATACCTCCCTGCCATGATTTACATGTCATTTACATAGCACAGGTGACTCCCTGGTGCTTGTGGAGGAGCTCTGTAGCACACGTGCACATGCACACCTGCACACCCACACATGAAAACCTGCAAGGTGAAAAAACCAGGCATTGTTTACTGTTTAATGGAAAGCTCTCGAAACAAGCCCCCTTCCTGAGGTACAGAGAGTTCACTTGCTGGTAAGCAGGAAGAAGTCACACTCCCCAGTGAAGGTGTCATCCCACCTTGCTTGGGGACTATTGTTGAACAGATGTTTGATGACTCTCTGTCACCTCTCTGGGTACCCCCCACCTATGCCCCACACAGCAGCCAAATGCTCTCTCCAAGCTGGTCTGATCACAGCCCTCCCCAGCATGGTTCTTCATTGTTCTTGATTCCTTTCGGGCTTGTGTTCAAAGTCTTTTACCATGACTTGAGCAACCTTAGAGATCTGCCCCATCTATGTGTCCAGGTTTATTCCTTCCCACCTCCAGGAAGTCAATCTACTGGAGACTATGGGAGCAGTGAATGGGGGTCACTAACAGGTCCAGGAGAGTCCTAACACAAGCATGGTTCCTGTGGCTGCAGTGCGATAGGACACAGAGCACGGGTCCCTGTTTGGTGAGTCACCACAGCAGAGCTTTTCTGAGAGCTCATCCCCAAACATCGGGGGCAGTGCCTCGACAATCAGGCACATTCTGGAGAATGTGGAGCCGCTGGCTGTGTCATATTTGGAAACACACTCCTTCCATTTCCTTATTGCTGAAGCGCCAAGGTGAGAGGAAAGCAAAGGAGTTAAAGGAAAGAGAATAGTAACTTTCTCTCGCCGTGCACTACCCGTCCAGAGCTCCAGGAAGCACGCCTCCCTGTCAGGTTGTACAGTCTTTGGCCCCAAACTGTCTCAGTGAGGAACAGCTGCACATATAAAACCCTCTCCCACTCCGAGAATGTGAGAGAGAGAGCCCAGGGTCGTTAAAGGGCTGCACAAGTGCTGGCTGTCTGCCTAAGGCTCCCACCCTTGGTGACCATGGTGCCCAGGCTGGCCCAGCCAGGCTGCAGAAAGAGCCCTCTGTAACTCAGATGGGTCAAGGTGGGGTCCCTGGAAGGAAAGCCTGAATTACATAGAATTGTATTTTCTCTTTGAACAACCTCAAGCTCACAGGAAATTTGCAGGTAAAGCATAAAGCATCTGTGTGTCGTAAGCTGCTGCCGCCCCATACTTGACTGTGTCTCCTGTGCAGTCACAGCACACTGTCCAAACCAGGACAGTGATGGGGATACATCATCACTACATGCTGCACCGAGTTTCTCCAGCTGTTGCAATGGTGTCCTCGAAGCAGAGGGGGCCATTCCAGAACCACCCCTGGCATCATTTTGTCTTCAGTCCCCTTCAGTCTGAAGTTCCTCAGTTGTGATGAGGGCAGTTTTGAAGATCACCTGGCCATCACTCTGCAGAAGGCCCCCAGTTGGGTCTGGGGGACTTTCTTTTGCCAGAATCCCCCAGAGGTGGTGCTGCATTCTTCTCAGTGCAGCCTGCCACGCGCCCGGGGCTGCAGCTTTCCCTCGGTGCCATGGTGCCATTATGGACGATGCTCATGCCGGCCACTTGATTAAGGAGCTGCCAGGCTTCCTCACTGGGACAGCGCTCCATCTCTTTGTAGTTAATGAGTGTCTTGTGGCCTAGTAATGTGATACTGAAAATATCTGTTCCTTACCAGACTTCTAGTGTATTCACTGATTTATTCACACCCGTGTGTCCTCATGGCTTCCTGTTTTATTGTTACTGTCCTTTCTTTGTGCTCAAACCGTCCCTGACTTTGGCTCCTAGAAGCTCCCTCAAGCTGGCTGTGTCCTACCAGCATGTTCCCATCATTCTTTAAGTACTTCCTTGCTTTCTGGCAAAACAACTTGTTCCAGGCCCATTTTCTCCTTTCCCTGCCCCAGCCTTGGAATCAGCCATTTCTCCTGGGTGCTCTGGCTGGAAGCCACTACTTGGATGCTAGGAGTGCAGATGGCTTTGGAAGGGTTGCTGCTCCAGGGCCCTCCCAGTGACAGCTGGGAACAGATAAATGCATTACCATCTAAATTTATAAGTTCATCTTTGTATGCTGAAACCCACAATTGTGCACCTCATGTGTGAAGTCACAAAGGATTCATTCTATGTATTTGTACCTTCCTTGTCTGACAGTGAGAAACCTTCTCCCATAGTCTCCAGTAGATTGACTTCCTGGATGGGTGCTGCTGTCTGCAGCCAGTCTCCCTCCTCTGCCACCACCTTCTCACCCATGGGGATCCTGTCCTCACCTTACTTGCATTAATGAGTGTCTGTGGCCAAGTAATTGGAGACTGAAAATATCTGTTCCTTATCAGACTTCCAATGTATTCACTGACTTATTCACACCCGTGTGTCCTCTGTGCCATTATGAATGATGCCCATGCTGGCCTACAGGGCCTCCGCTCCCCCAGAGATGCTCCCTCCTCCCCGCTGGGCCCTGACACCCCACCCTGGGACACTCCTCCTGGGGACATTCTTTTCTCCCAGCTCCACTTCTGTCACCACTGGGGCACCACAACTTCCCTGTCTCCCACCATGGTCACCTCTGCTTCAGGATAGGATGGTTGAGAAGCAGACATTTAAGAAAGGGGAGGATTTTGTTTGTATCTTTAACCAAAGATGCATCAAGTGTACAGAGATCGAACCACAAAATAATCCTAAAAACATTCAAAATAGCAGGCAGTCAGCCCAGAACACCCGTAGAGGCATAGTAGTATAATTGTTCTGGAGTTGCCCACTTGGGCCCAGTACCGGTGCTGCCTTGGGCAGTTGGGCAGGTCCCTTACCCTCCTAAGCCTCAGTTTCGTCAACTATAAAATGGGAAAATGTTGCTGTGCTGAGGCCTCCGCGAGCTAACGCCAGGGAAGGGCGTGACCCTGTCTGTGCCTGCCCACAGTATCTGCACAGCAGATAGGAGCCATGTCAGTGATCATGCATTTTTCAGAATCCTAGAAAATGATTCTGTTTTAGAAGGCAGGGCCAGGATGATGGGTGGGTGTCCCCTGGGCAGGGAGGCTCTTTGGCTCTCCTTCTTTCACAGGGCTTTTTTTTTTTTTCCTTTGGCATGCCCACAGCCAAGTCTGGGAGGGTTTCTGGACCGAGGTCCTCGTGGCTGCTGCCTTAAGACGTGCAGCCTGGGCCACAGCCACCACAGCTCTCTAACTCAGGCCCACTGCAGCAGCAGCCCCGGCCAGTGCAGCAGCATGGCACTTTGGGGGACCTGCCTGCTCCTCTGCCTCATCTCCCTCCTGAACCAAGTCACTATGGAGCCCCCAACCCCCAAGGTCAAGAAGACTGCAAATGTCAAGAAAGGTAAGGAGGGGGGTGGGAGCTGGTCACCTTTCCTTTGCTGGTCCTCCTGCTCCTTCCCTTCGTCTTCCTCCTTGACGAGGCCAGGGAACTTCAGCAAAGTACCCCCTGGAGCCTGGGTGGTATCCCCAGTAGAAGGGCTGTCAGAACTGTAAGGCTCAGTGACTCTCAGAATTGGAAACAAACTTCCAGATCATCTAAAACTGACATCTGCCCCAACCCCTGCCCCTTCCGCCCTGCACCTCAGCATTTTAAAGAAAACAAACTTTGACTTGGCAATGCCAGCAGGTTCTGCTTTGTAATCTCCATCCCTTGGGTTTCTCATGGGAAGAGTAATATTTGCTCAAAGGCTTGTCCTGGAAGTGCCTAGCCCAGTGCCTGGCACACAGAATACAACTGATGCACAGGGAAAAAAAGGGGATAATGTTAATCCCCAGTTCCACCATGTATCACAGCCTCGAGGAAATAAAAGTGTTCAAACCCGGAAGAGGATTCTGCACGCAGCTTTGCTCTCCCTCAGTCGCCTCTGGTTCTGGGCGTCCTCAGGCCGCCCAGCTGCAGCAGAGCCTGCCCTTGGAGCCCTGCCTGCAGTGAGCTCACCCTGGGCTGTGTTGAGACAACATTAGTGCAATGCCATGGCAATGAACTGAGCTGTCATCCCCATGGGGCTCTGAGGCTGGGACAGTTCCAGGGGATGAGAGCACAGATTTGGGCAGAGAGACAGGCAGCCAAGGCCAAGGGTGCAGGCAGGCAAGGCAAGGGGTGTGGGCCACCCCCGGGCCCCTCTCTGAGCCTCCTCGGGAAACGGGCCGCTGCCTGTTGGCCATGGACTAGCACAGTGCATACAGGTACATCAGGGCCATGGAGACCCACAGGGCCGGGTGACAAAGACTGAGCAGATCTGGGTGCTGATAAATAGTCTCAGAGGTTCCATTTATAAAGTGAACAAAGAAAAGTTCAAAACAGAATCGATTCTATGCAGTCATTTGTTTTGAATACATATTGCCTTGTATAAGCACAGAATGTTTCTGCAAAGATCCACAAGGGTTAGTAACAATGATTACCTCTGGGAAGAAAAACGGGAGTGCTGAAGACAGTCTCAATGGAGAAGGAGACTTTAATGTTTCAAACTGCTTGGGTTTAAATAGATATATATATTTCCATATTATCTTCTACAAAATATTTGTTAAAAAGAGAAGACTCAGTACCACGCATGGGTGTGTTCACGAGCATTAGCTAAAGTTACCACCAACGAATATTCTTTGTAAAGGATGCACAATTCCAAATGAAAATAATAGAATTTCAGACTGTGGAAAATAGCGGCTAATTTCTCAACACCAAATATTTCGAATTTACTTAATCATGTGAATCACGTATCTAATCATGTGAAAAAAGAGAAAGTCAGACCAGACTAAGCCTTGGTCCTCTGCAGCTGTCACGCCGAGTCCTGGCCCCAGGCGGTCTCCATGGAGATGAGCCAGGCCCCCAGAGGCCCACAGAGCAGACCACACCAAGGGAGAAGCATCCTGCCCCGCCCTGCCTCTCACTGAGACCCGCTTCAGTGTTCTGACCCACCTAGGCTTTCCCTCTTTGCACCTATTGCCCACACACATGAAACAAATGCTTACAAGAGCTATTTCTCCATGCAGGGGCCCATGTTTGTGCTGAGCAACCTCGCAGGAGGTCAGCATCCCTGCTTTCAAGACATGACTCGATGCTAGAACCTTTCTGTCCTCACTCAGGCATCAGCACCATCTCAGGATACCTTCAAGTCCAGGTGCCCTGGCCGTTCCCCTGGAAATGCTGGTCGGGGGTTTAGAGCGGGCCCCAGCAGTGGCCTTTGCCACAGTCTCCAGCAATTCCAAGGAGCAGCCAGGACTGAGGATCATAGGAACAACCTAGTTGTAGGGTCCAGGGCACAAATGTAGGGGAGACCACTTGATACCCAGGGCCAGTGGTGAAGAGCAAGTTGGTGAAGCTGGCAAAGGGTAGAGAGGACAGCATGACCCCCGGCCCCAGGACGGTGAGAAGAGGGAGAGCCCAGGTGCCCCTGGGAGCTATCTGCTCGGGGCGTGGGGCATGGCCCAGGCCAGCCATGGGGTCAGCCCGAGGGGAGGCATGCAGGGAGGGCTCGGGCAGCCAGAGCTCCAGGAACATGTGACCACACCTGGTGGAGTAGTTCGGGGGAAAGGCTAGCCTCATGGAAGGACACAAGCCTGTAGCACAGGGACCGGGGGACCTGGATGGCATCCATCTCAGTAACAGCAGAACCAGGTTCAGAAGTGGGGCAGCACAAAGGCCTCCTGACTCCTCACCCAGAGCTGCAGGGACACCCTCATGCCCACACTTCCCTTGAGTGGAGCACTGTCAGTGCCTGGCCCCTTGACTGGTCCCTGTGTCCATGGGCACCTGGGTGCAAATTACAAAGGTACCCTCTGAGCTGACAAATTATAGAAAGGCACCCCTTTTTCTGGTCTGACCCAAGCAGCCAGGGTAAGGCTTTAAGGCTGGGTGTGAGCCCTGCTTGTGCCCTCAGCTGAGTGCCCATGTGCAGTGCCCAACTTGCACAGCCTCACCTGGCACCCTGTGCTGGTGCCTCATGTGCCTGGGTGTGGAGCTGAGGCAGAGGCCTGGTGCGGGGCTCGCCTGACCCCACCCAGGTGGTTTGCCAGCCCCAAACCCTCCCTTTTTGCCATGCTCATCTGGGTGTTATTTTCCTCATATTTGATAAGTTACATCAGTAATTCCTGTATGTATGAGTATGTTTCCTACCTGCATTTGTTTACAGCAACTCCTCCTGCAAAGGCATGTTCTGAGGGCACAGAGGCTCTGACCTCTCCCCTCGTGACTGTAGGCTTTATGCAGGTGCGGCCAAGTGGACCATGGAAGCATTTCAGACCCTCTGCCCAAGTGAGTGCAGCCTTTGTTGAATCCCTGGGATTTTAGAAGATTGGGGTCCACCCACAGCCTATCTGCTGATCCCAACCCCACCTGATCCCCGGCAACACTTCTGAACAAAGGCATACAGCTGTCAGTCCAGCAGGAGCAAGTGAAGGTTGGGTGTCCCTGGCAGAAGGAAAATCATGAGCAATTACTTAGGCTCCCACCAGCTGGAACAGAGGGAGAGAAAGCATGTCAAGATACGGGGTCCCTGGGAGTTGTCTCTCCCTGTGCCCCTGTGGTTGACACAGGTAGGGCTTGCTTTGCCTAGTCCTTGCTCTGCTCCAGTCCCTACTGCCTTCCTCACATGTCTGTGATTGCTTTCACTTTCTTCTAGATGTTGTGACCCCAAAGATGTTTGAGGAGCTCAAGAGCCAGCTGGACAACCTGGCCCAGGAGGTGGCCCTGCTGAAGGAGCAGCAGGCCCTGCAGACTGGTGAGTGCAGGCAGTGGCCTCTCTGGGTAGGTGTGCACCAGGGAGAAGGGCTCAGGCTGGCAGCCAGCAAGGTGCCTGAAGCTCCCGGCCAGTACAAGGGCTCCGGCCGGCTTTGTTAGTGCAGCACTGTAGGCCAGGGCCGGAGAGCCCCTGCTCAGCCTGCTTCTTCTTGGGAGATGTCCTGACATGTGTGGGAATGGTGATTCCCCAAAGGACAGAAAGCTCTCCCACAGGAATCCATTACTGCCCGTGGAAACATGCGCCTGGAGCCCTCCATGGGGCAGAGGAAGCAGCCCATCCTAATGCGCTCCCGGGAGACTCTCTGTCAGCCAGCCCTGAAGCCCTGGGGGGCACACTGGCTTCACCCCGCCGTGTGTCAGCAGCTTTGCCCATGCTTTTGCTCTCAGTCGTGATTGTGCTGAGGCAGGATTTCCCATCTCCATTTGAAGAAGGGGCAATGAAGGCATAGAAAAGTCATGTCCCTTGCCCACACCCACCTGGCTGGTTAGCACAGATAAGAATCTGAATGGAAGCAACCTGCCCAGGGGAAGATGGGCTTCGGTTCCCTGGCCCTGCATTAACCAGCCAAGCAAAGATGGACAAAATCCCACAGCTGCGGAGCCTGGGGTACAGTCAGGTGGCGGCCGCCTGCCCCCACACACACTGCCTGGTTAGCCTACCTGGGCAACCTGTTCTCTCTCCCAACCAGCATGTTCCTTTCGTATTGTCTCTATTTTCTGCACATCTCCGACTCACCTACTCCTTTGTGACCTTGCTCCGGAGAACACAAAGAATACAGACTAACAGTATATAGACTAACAATACATAGACTAATATGAGCTTACTACTTACCTGGCACTGTTCTAAGTACTTTGGGTACATTAACTCTTTCTTCACAGAAAACTCGCAGTGGGCCTATTACTGTAACTTCACTTCCATTTCGCACCAAGAAGCTGAGTGTCTTGCCAGTAGCCAAAAGGAGCAGAGTGTTGCTCTTGGCAACGCTTTACTGCCTGTCGAGTTATGATCTGGGAATCACCTCTGCTCCTTCTTAGGAAATATACAAGTCGCCCTGTGGCCACAGCCACACTCTCACCTGCTGCTTCTCGAGCACGGACGCATCCACCTCCTGGGCCTGGGGCTCTCCCTTCCCCTCCTGCCTCCGCAGAAATCTCCTAGATCTTCTTCACTGGGTAGTTTTCACACATGCCCTCCCACTGAGATCTTTTCTTTGAGCATTCACACTGGCCATCCTTCTTTCCCTCCCATGGGCCTTTGCACATGCTGTTCTGGCAGCCTGAATTGTTCCCCAAAGATCCACCTAATAAGTGCTTCTACCATCACCATCTCAGGAGTCTCTAAACCCTTAACTCAATCAGGCTCCTTAGTTATAAGTTCTCAAAGAATGTTCTTTCCTTAATCACATTTGTTGTAGTTTGTAATGATATATCTGTTGATTTATGTCTGTCTCTCCCACTGGACTATAAGCCCCAGGAATACAGGAGCCATGTTTGCTTTTGATTGCCCTTGTCTCTCCCACCACCCTGCCCAGCATAGTACTGCTACATATCAACACTCAGGAAATTTTTGTTGAAAGGAAGTCAAATGCATGATTTTGGGCAACTTGCTTAATATTGCAGGTTGAGGGGAGGGGCTCTCGGAAGGAAGTCTCTAACATGTTTTGGCTTCAAGTAATGGAAAACCTAACAGTGCATAAACAAAAAGAGTCTGGAAGTAGGTAGCTTTCAGAAGCTTTGCCTCAAGGTCCCAAAATGGCTGCCTCAACTCCAGGCATCATTTGAAGTGCATTCAAAGCAAGAAGAAAGAGGACGGGTGGCCCAGCCACTTCTGTCCCATTTATCAGGAAAGTAGAAGGTGTTCCATTTCTATACTATTGGTCAGAGCTCCATCAGATGACCATCCATGGCTTCAATGCAGAAACGAAGCTTTTCCAGCTTCTGTAGTAGAGGCAGACAGGGAGAAGGGAGTTGGAAAGAGGTGTGGTTGCGTCAACCAACATCATCTGTCACAGAGGGAATGTTTAGAATGAGCAAAGTGCCATTCTGGGCCTCAGTTTCCTCATCTGTGAAGTGGAAGGGGTGGGGATAGATTTTCAGGGTGAGCTCTATTAAGGTCTGTCTCATGCCCAAGCTTTATGCTTGTGCAAAGTCATGTAACCTAGACACCACTTGCTCCCTGAGATGGTGGGTAGGGACCTCCCTACACAAAGTCCATGTCATATGGAGATCCAAACATCCACCTCCCTGTTTGCTGATTCCCAGAAGGTTCACAGTCACCTGCCCTCCTTGAGGACCTTCTGCTTCTCATCATTCTCTCCTTTTCTACCACAGTCTGCAAATCATGTTGTCAGTTATCCCACACAAAGCATTCCTGAGCTCTGTTGACCTAGCCAAAGAATTGAGAGAATCAGGGGTTATGGGAGCAACACTCCCCTCCCGCTGTCTGCTCCTTCCCTACACCAGTCAGCAAACACATGTGCGGTCCCCACCCAGCATACATCTACCAGGCACCAGGAGGCAGAGGTGACCAAGCCAGGGCCCTGCTCTCTGGGATCCTCAGTGTATTCATGGAATCCTTATATTCACTGGAGCCTTAAGGCAGGTGCAGGATGATAAAGAGGGATTCTAAGCAGAGGGCATGTGGAGGAAGGCTAGTGTGACTCAGTGGAGTCATGAATAGACCAGCAACAAAACGTTAGTAATGATGATGTACTGAGAACTAACATTTATTGAGGGCTAATTGTTTGTCAGAGGGAGTGTGCAGTGGGTTTCCAGGAAGCAGCCCTGAGATGAGTTTAGCCTGCAGGAGATTTATAAGGGAGTACCTTAGGGTTAGCCCCTGGGGAAGGGAAGGGACAGAAGGAAACAGGGTGGACAGAGCAAGAAGCAGAGCTGCACTGCGTTCTTAACGACAGCCTCAGCCGACTGCAGAGGAAGCTGTGAATGGGAGGGCCCTTCAGAGCTGTCCTGAGTTGGGGCAAGAAGGCACTGGCCAGTCACTGGGTGCAGGCCACTCTGGGAGGGGGGCAGGCCTTTGCCAAGGTGCCTGTCTTCCGCTGAGGCAGTCCTCAGAGGGCGCCGAGAGCTAAATTTTACTGCAGCGCCCTCGGCAGCTGGGATCGTAAGCCCTTCATCCCCAGAGTGGTCTGGGCAGCATTGTCATAGGGTTCCCAGCAGGAAGGAAAGGTAGCGTGGGGCCAGGATGGGAAGGGCAATGAGGACCATCTTGGAAAAGCTGCACCGTAGCACAAGGCAGGGCAGGCTGACTTGAAGCAGAGGCCAGGAATGAAGACCACTCCGCAGTGTTTCCGGCACCACGTGCAGAGTTCTGGGAGTGTCAGGTGCCCACCCAACCTGGAGATGTTGGTTGAGTGAATCAAGGAGCAGGTGAGTGAGTGAGGAATTGGGATGGGGTGGAAAGCAGACCCACCCGAACGTTTGTCAACAGCTAGAGGAGAAATGGAGGCATATACCCCACCTCTATAAATATTTAAGTTGTAAGCCAAGCTAAGGAGCAAACTGCTAAGTAAAAAAACACTCTTTCCTTCTAACTTAACCAAACATACACCTTCATTACAACCTTTGAGGCCAGATTCAAACTTAGAATTTTGGACTTTTGAGAGTCCTATGCCTGAGAGAGCTAGCTCCTGGCCCACAGTAAGTGCCATCTCTCCTGTCTGAGGGGTCCTGGGGGCTCAACTCCATCCTCCAACCCCCACCCCAACCAGCTTGCAGGAGCACTGACCCAGGAGGGGGCTCCTGGCAGCTGCCGGGAGCTTGTTGGGCCTCTTGGGCAACAAGGGTTTTGGGCACTGGGTCCCTGGAGTGTGGTGTAGGCTCTGGGTGGGCATGTGCCCTGGCCCTGCCAGCCGCTTGATCTCAGGGAAGGTGTGCCCGGAGGAAGACCAGAACAGGTGACTCTGGCTGGGCTCCCTGGGAAGCCCGCTTGGGAGATGGAGCTCATTAGGGGGGGCCATTAGATCCCCAGCTGGGTGGGGAGAGGATGCAGAACTGGGCTGAGGGGCTCCTGGGAGCAGTGCAGGCTCTGTGCCAGCCTCTGCAACCCCATGGACTCAGCAGACTGAAGGGCCCTTCAGAAGTGCCATGCCTCAGGCAGGGATGACCCTGCTGAACCCACTCCCACATCCCTCGGGCACCAGATGTGGCACCTGGGAAGGGGTGTGACCTGGAGCTAGGGGCTGATGTCATGCCGCAGCAGGCACAGCAGCGCCTTCTTAATAGGGATCTGGGCTCTGCATCACTCTCTGCTACAGCTGCTGGTTGGATTTGGGGGCTGCCCAGTGCTGATGGGATGGACAGGGATGGGATGGAGGTTGGCCTTTGGTTCCAGAACCCAGAGACCTGTGGTGACGGCCTTTTCTTCCCCTCCCAGTCTGCCTGAAGGGCATCAAGGTGCATGTGAAGTGCTTTCTGGCCTTTGTCCAGGCTAAGACCTTCCATGAGGCGAGTGAGGACTGCATCTCGCGCGGGGGCACGCTGGGCACCCCGCAAACGGGCTCGGAGAACGACGCTCTGTACGAGTACCTGCGCCAGAGCGTGGGCGCGGAGGCTGAGATCTGGCTGGGCCTCAACGACATGGCGTCCGAGGGCACCTGGGTGGACATGACTGGCGGCCACATTGCCTACAAGAACTGGGAGACGGAGATCACCGCGCAGCCCGACGGCGGCAAGGCAGAGAACTGTGCCGCCCTGGCCGGCGCCGCCAATGGCAAGTGGTTCGACAAGCGCTGCCGCGAAATGCTGCCCTACATCTGCCAGTTCGCCATTGTGTAGCAGGGCACTGGGGTGAGGGGGGTGGGCCGGGGCCCCTACGTGCACGCGGGGCCTCCTCGGCAAATAAAGTTGATGCAGCTTGGCGGAGACTAGCTACAGGCTGTTGGGGGTCCGCGGCTGGCCGGGGAGGTTCCCAGGAGCCGCAGGAAGGGAAGGCTAATGAATTCTCCCCAGGAGGTAGAGGGGCGTGGGGAGAAGGGGAGCCGAGAGCACGCCACACAGCTGCGCCTTGTTTCTTTTAATAACCTTGTTTTCATATCATTTCCTACTTACAGACAAGTTGCAAGAATACCTGTTTACCCTTCATCCGGATTTTCCAAACATTAACATTTTCCCACATTGCTTTATGCTTCTTTTCTGAACCGTTTGACAGTAAATTGCTCCAGGTGACCACTTAAGACTCCTGAGTCAAAAACTCAGCCCAACCCTCAGGAATGTCTTCCCTAGACTCCTCTCCAGAAAGGAAAGCTGTTCGGTGGCTGCTTCCTCTGCCCAAGCAAGGTTCATCCTCTGCACTGGCCACCTCATTCTATGAAGTGACCACAGGCCCTTGCTCTCTCTTCAGTCCCAAACAGGCACAAATTCAGATGCCTGGTGGACACAGCCACCTCGAAGTCCTTAGTCACTTAAGTCAACATGTTCAAAAGGGAGCTCAGTGCCTTCCCACTCAAGTCTGCTTCTCTTCCTGAGCTCACCAACTCCAGGGGATGTCTCTAGTCACCCAAGCCCTAGTCCTGTGGGGCCTCACATGTGCCTCTGTGCCTGTCACACCTGAGATCCAAATCATCATCAGGAGCCATGATTGCACTTCCTGAGGAACTGGCCAGGCTGTCCCTTCCTCTCCAGATCCACTGCTACTAGACCCAGGTCTCCAGCTTGAACCACTGTAAATACTACCCTTCCTGGTTCCCCATCTCGCCCCACATCTCTCCCACCCTCCCTAAACCACAGCCTTTACTGCATAACCACTGGTTGTATGGAAGAGAAGGCTGGTTCAAATCGTGGTCAGAGTTGGTCCATGTAATGCGATCTTCCCTCCCACAAACATGCACATCTTTGCTTCACCTGAAAACATCGCTTCACTGGTGTGACCCTGACGACTTAAACCTCCAGATACATTCTTCCTTTGATTTTGGCTTTGCTAAGAGAAAATGTAAATATTAATAAAAACACAGAAAAGGAGCAATGTGTATGCTCCTGATGTGTGTTGGGCCCTGACCCAGAAGCCCCTATGTCCTGGTAACAACCAAAAATTATCTCACCGAATTTTGTAATAACCAAGGAGAGAAGGATTACTAAATCTAATTTATAGCTGAGCAAAATGAGGTACAGAGAGGGTGATTTTTCCAAGAATACCCACTGATGGGCTGACATTCCAGCACAGGTCTGTTGAGTTCTAAGCCCACATACCATCTGTTGTATACATTAAGCCCTTTGTGAATCTTGAAGTTTTCAGATGTTTCATGATGTGATTGTGTAAGGTTTGTATAAATGAGCCGACAGTGCTGCATACTGGTATCTGTAATTGCTGGTGAGGAATCATAAAAACAGGTTTTCCACCCAGATTTTCTAGGGTTATTTTGGAAGCCTAATGTTAATATTCCACTTAGCTTGCTTTTCATGGGTGACTCACTTATGAGCATGGTTTTTCAGTCTTTCAGGCTAAAAATCATGACATAGCCTACAAAACAAGTAGCTCTTTTTTTCTACTAGAGTGCACTGCTGCTTCATGCAGTGTGAGAACACAGCCAGGGGAACACTTCTCAAAGGTCAGCACATCTTTAGAGGAAAAGCCTGAGGCACAGGGAGGCTAAGGGACCAGCCAAGGTCCACGGCTGGCTAGAGAATGAGCCCAGGAGTTTCACTTTCTCATGGAAAGCTTTGTGCAAACCATTTCTCCAAACAGCCAGTGAGTACATACTGTGCCAACCCTCTGCCAGGTGCTGGAGCCTGAGGCCTGGATCCCGCTCTTGGGGGCCTGCCCACCCGGTGGGGGACAGAGAGTAGCCCTCCTGTTTCGCATTGATGGGAAAACAATCTGGCGCTATTGGCAGGAAAATGTATTTAGATGAGGACATACCAAGTCAAAGACAAACCAGGAAACTTAGATTTCCTCCAATTAATCACCAAGTTTCCCTGGGAAAACCTTAAGCCAGGTTGAAGTTAGTCTTTGGCGGTGACACAGGGTGAGGAAGAAGCCCTGGATTTGGATGCTAGCTCTGCCACTTTCTAGTCCTGTGACCTTGGGGGAGGCACAATCTTTGAGCTGTGTTTCTTCAATTGCACATGAAATGGGAGAACAGAGCATTAGCGCCAAACTCACAGACACGGACGAAGGCAAATTTCTTAGGTTCTCATGTCAGCCGTGGCTGGTTTACTTGTGGTTACCACCATCTCTTCAAGTCCCTTTGGAATTATTCTCTCCAAGGCTATGGGAGAAGGCAGTGGTGAAGGGTCTGGAATCCATATCTATTAAGCCTTCGCCCAGCCTGCTTCTACAAGCCAAACTCTACAAGGTGCCTGCGGAAGACCATCCACTGGGAACATTGTGACCCAGGCTGAGGGTTACTCTTGCCTGTAGAGAGGACATGATGCCTCCCTCACGTCGCTGTTGTGAAGAGTGAGCATATTATGTAAAGCCTCTAGCCCACTGCTTGGCAAGCAATTGCAAAGACCATGAGACAATGCTACTGTGTGAAAAAAGCTTTGGAAATAAGACTACCCTACATGAAAGATAAGAGAAACCCGTGGCTTTTACCTGGGTGGGAAAAAAACACAGTGAGTTCAACTGTGACCTCTTATACTGAAATGACAATTCTCTTGGGAAGGTGGCCTGGCAATGTAGTTGGATCTGAACTAATACAGACCAGGCGGAGCTGAGGTTTAGGTCAGTGGTTGTCAATCTTGGCCAGATGTTAGAATCACCTGGAGTACTTTTAAAAAACCCAGTGCCCCAGCTACACTCTAGGCCAATTAAATTAGCATCTCTGGGGAGTGGGACCAGGCACTGTGAGTGCTGAAAGCTCTCCAGGTGATTCCAAGCTATGGTTGTTGAGAACCACTGGCATTTATAAAGCTAGCTGCCCACTGGGTTAGGATTTTGGAAGAAACCCAAGAGCCCCAGAATCTCTCCTCATGGTAGCTGTCTTGGTCTGAATTTCCTACCATTCTAAGTATTAAATAGTGGTAACACACACTCTAATAAGGGCTGGCTACATTCAGTTACTGTTTCGTATTGATATTGACTGGAACTGGAGATTCTACCTATATGCTTGGTATAAGAAGTTAATTTCAGTAGGAAGTAGGCATGGTCAGCAGCTAGGATTAGATTTGGTTGCATATAATGAAAAATCCAAAATGACAGGACCTTAAACAAGACAGAAGTCTGGAGCCAGGTAGTCTAATGCTGGTATGGCATCTCTATGGCATAGGGGATTCAAAGCTCCTTTTATCTTCCCACACTACCATTCTGGTGTGGGCTCTCCATCTTTGAGGTTATCTCATGGTCCATGATGGCTGCTAGAGTGCCAACCATTATTATCCACATTCTAGGCATCAAGTAAAAGAAAAGAATGGGCAAGAAAGGTCCAGTTGGCTTCCTTTAAGGAGGCTTCTCTTCACCTTATATTTCATAGACTAGAACTTTGTCAAATGCCTATCTGCAAGGAAGGCTGAGAAATACAACTCTTTAAGTAGGTACCTTGACACCCCAAATAAAACTAAATTTCTTTAAGGAAGAAGGGCAAATGGTATGTAACTAGCAATTAGTGCCATGGAGCTATTGCTGACCCAAAGACTGAACATGGGAGGTACCTAGAAGCTAACAGACAGGAGGATTAAGAGATCTTGAAGGAATGATGATTCATTCATCTGGTTTCTGAAAACTTACTGATGGGAGGCTTTCAGGAGGAGAAACTTGTTTTCAATTGGGCAGCTGGTTCAAGCCCTAGTTCCTTGTCAACGAATTCCTAGTTCCTAAGCATGGCTGTCTCAGCCTCAGATGTAGCTTCTTCCTGACCCTGTGTCACCACCAAAGACTAACTTCAACCTGGCTTAAGGTTTTCCCAGGGACACTTGGTGAGTAATTGGAGGAAATCTTAGCTTCCCAATTTGTCTTTGACTTGGTATGTCCTCATCTAAAATACATTTTCCTGCCAATAGTGCCCGTATCTCACAGGCCAGCCCTCCTCCCGAAGAGCCAGGGCCTGGAGGGTGCTATGCCCCAGGTGCCTTCCCATGCGCCCGTGCCTAGATGGTAAAATCAGTGATTGCTGGTCCTCAGTCGAAAGCCACAGGACAGGTCTTGGCAGACCTTGGCTGAATTCTGTGAACCTTTTTTACCCCAACCCCCTGGATAGTTAGTTGCACCCTATAACTGTTATGGTCCAAGTAGGAAGCAGACTCCAACTCTGACACACACCGTTCAAAGGACTGGAGTGAGAGGACCACAGGCAGTCCTTGTTCTGTTTACATAGTTCTAATATGCATGAATTTTAAATATCAATAATTTCAGTTATTTTAGTTAAATCACACCAGTCCCCCAACAAGATAGTTAAAATTGCAGTTTCATTGATATATTAACTGTGAGTAATTGCATAAAGCTGCAATTCTAAAGTATTATTGGAATGCCAGCTCTTGGGCCCATGGATCGGGATGTCAGTAACACATGCACAGGAAGAATCAGTGACCAGTCATGTCACCTCTTTCCAAGCCTGTTGGTGACTGGTCAGTGCACGTTATTTAGTTCATGGACAGACAGCAAAATGTATGGTTGTGTTGCTTTCTTGTCTCCCAGTGGTAACCTCATGTGACATTTTACAAAATTGGATAATGAAAAGAGGGAGAGGGAAGTGACTGATAAAGATGAAAATGCAGTGAAGAGACGCAGAGTGATGGCCAAGAGAATAAGGGTGGCCTCACCGAAGAAACCGCTGATGGTGGGGTGTGGGCAGTGCTGCCATTTGAGACTCTCTATCTGCAGCTGGAGCAACTTAGGGAGAATGAACTTAATACATAAAAAGGAAGTGAAGAAAATGACAGAAGGGATGAAGGTGCCCCAGAGGAAGCGACACCAGCAAAAACCCACATGAAAGGAACTCCTGGAGGTATTTTGTAACATTGAAAGCAAAAAGGATAAAATGTGTGAAGCTGATCCAAACTTAGAAAGGCGTATGGTGACGCATCAAGGCAGAGGAAAGCCACACACTCCATATCAAGATACGTGAGGAGGAGCAGCAGGTAGGCGCTGGTCAAAATACTCTGGCTAAGACGGATACTAAGAAATACTTTCACTCTCAATGTTTCAAATCAGTGTATTTAAGAATACTTTTTATGACTTTTTCTCTCACTGACAGTGAGGGTTTTAATGCTTCAACAAACATCTGGAAAAGTCACAGAACAATCATAATTTTCCCCAGCAATTATTAAGATTGTTTTGTACAGTTTCAGCTTTACAGTCCCCACACCAGTGTGCAGAGTAAGGAATTCTCTACTCACAGATACACGACACTCAGCCAGTGAACACGTACAGGGGACACCCAGAGGCCAGCACAGCAGGGAGCAGGCAGCAGAGAAGGGCCAGCAGAGCAAACAGTGTTGCTCGAGTTGTGGAGCAAGTAAACATGGAAAGAGATCTCCGAGGGGTGGGGACACAGCCACCGACAGAAAATGCAGCCCAGGGCACAGAGGTGAACGGGAGAAATATCCCAGCACCTGTCTCTGCTCATCCTTTTGACTTGGCAGATGCTTCCCACTGGATGAACCCAGTTGAAAGGCAGCAAAGCCACAGGCAGGCAATGCAGTCCAACTCCCAGGGCATACAGCAGGGTGCAGGTGGAGGGTGCCTGGGTGGGGGCATAAGTGTGCTGTCATTTTTGTGTCCATGCCCTGCAGTGGAGGACAGCCACCTGCACTTCTGATGCTCAGGGCTACCCCATTACTATAGTAAAGACAAAGGGAACAGAGGTGGGAATCTCTATTCCCATTCTCTCCACGGAACCCCTTCTGACATCCGCTGTACTCCAGAATTACCTCGGTGCAGCTTGTCGCCTTGGCCAGGACACCAAACACAAAGAGAGGTCAATGGGCAGGAGAAAAAGCAAACTCAGTGTTTTTCAGCCAAGGTTTCTAGGAAAAATTTCTACTGTTGATACTGTAAACTCAGTAGATTTTAACCAAGATGGGCTGGGAAAGTTTCAAATTACATTCTAAATATAACTGACAGAATGTCAGGGCAGGCGTGGGTACATCTCTCAGATGTTACTGCATATAAAACATTGCTTGGGATCAAGTTTTAAAGTATTTTACTTTCTGACATGAAAGTTTCTCTAACTTATGGAAGTCGTTTTTTGTCTTTTAGTTACATCTTTGGAAATCTACTGAGGGTCTGGGGCCCTCACTGAACAAACACATGCTGTTCAAATAAGAAAGGGGCTCTGGGTGCTTTTCTGCAAAATGCTTGATTTCTACGAGTGGTCTACTGTTGGAGATGGCGGCCTGTAGCTCTGCTGTTCTGGGGCTGATTCAGGGTGAGCCTCTCTATCCAGAGGTCCCAATCCCGTGGGGTTTCCCACTAAGCCCACTGAAGTCACTCATGCTGCTGGCTTCCTTGCAGGAGGACAGAGACGATCAGCAGGGCAGTTCCTCACGCTGGGCAGGGCTGCAATTTGGGTAGTAAAACTCTCCATCATGGGGGCTGCTCTGTGCCTTGCAGACTGTTGGCAGCATCCCTGACCTCTACCCACTAGATGCCAGCAGTACCTGGCTCTAGCTGTGACAGCCCCAAATATCTGCAGACATTGCTGAATATCCCCTGGGGGAAGCTATCCCCTGCTGAGAAGCTGTGAGGGACGGGGTACCTGCAGAACTCTCACAAAAAAGCCTTCCAAAAAATAGTTGAGGCACACCTTGTTTGATGCTTCAAATTCCAATTATGTCACTGAACATGACTTACAAAGAACTTGTATTTCCTAAGCCAAAATTCAGGACACACAACATAACAAAGGCTTTTGTTTTTAAAACTCTACTTTGAATGTATTTATTTGCCAACGGTATACAGTTTAAATCACA